ATGATGGATACAAAAATGGTACAGTTTTATTAAAAATGGAAAATCTATTACTCTTGTGTCATTAACACCAAAACAAGTTTATGAAAATCAAATCAAATTGAAAAGTGAAGAAAATAAAAGAATTAGAGAAATCGAGAGGGAGATTGATCTTTCACAATAAGAAAGCGAGAGAGAAAATAAAGAGTTTTCTGAGAGGGGAGACATGTCGAAAATGAATTTCCTTTCAAAAGAGAGTGAGTTGAAGATGGCAGTAGTTGAGAATCATTCCTCAACTTTGAGGAATCTAACATGTCCCTCCCTGGTTTAGCTACTTCTTTGTTACAGGAATTCGAAGACTTTTTTTCGGAGAACATGCCTAGTGGGTTACTACCCATTCGAGGTATTGAGTATCAAATTGACTTCATACTTGGAGCTTCATTCCAAATAGGCCAGTTTATAGGAGTAATCTCGATGAGACAAAGGAATTTCAAAGGCAAGTGGAAGAATTGAGGGAAAGTATGAGTCCATGTATTGTACCAATGCTACTTGTGTCAAAGAAAGATGAAACTTGGAGGATGTGTTTAAACTGTCGGGCAATCAACGACATAACGGTAAAGTATCATCATCCTATATTTAGGTTAGATGAATTGTATGAATTATATATGTTTAGTAAAATAAATCTTAAAAATTGATATCATCAAATTAGGATGAGAGAGGGATATGAGTGGAAAACTTCTTTTAAGATTAAGTATTGTTTATATGAGTGATTAGTCATGTCATTTGGACTTACTAATGCACATAGCACTTTTTATGAGATTAATGAATCATTTTTTGCATGCATTTATAGGTAAATTCGTAATAGTTTATTTCGATGATATCTTGGTATATAGTAAAGACTTAAATGAGTATATAAGACATTTAAAATGTGTGCTTGTGGTCTTAAGATAATAATTTTATGCTAACTTTAAAAAGTGTACATCTTGCATGGAAAAAAGTTTTTTTTTCTTGGTTATTTGTTGGTTCTAAAGGAATTGAAGTGGATGAGGAGAAAATCAAAACCATCAAGGAGTCGCAACCATCGAAAAGCATAACCGAGGTAAGAAATTTTCATGGCCTAACTAACTTCTATAGGCATTTTGTTAGATAATTTAGCACAATTGTCATACCACTCACAGAGATTATAAAGAAAAGTTCAGGATTTCGTTGGGGCGTTGAACAAGAACGTGATTTTAACACTATTAAAGATAGATTGTGTACCTCACCAATTTCATCACTACCTAACTTCAACAATACTTTTGAGATTGAATGTGATACCTCAGTAATAGGTATAGGAGCTGTTTTAACGCGGAAATGAAGGCCCATAGCTTACATTAGTGAAAAGCTAGGTAGAGCAACTCTCAACTATCCGCATATGACAAGGAGTTATATGTACTTGTTCGAATTTTGGAGACATGACAGTACTATCTATGGCCAAAGGAGTCGTGATCCACACCGACCATGAGTCCTTGAAGTATCTAAATGGTTAAGGTAAACTAAACAAGAGGCATGCAAGGTGGATAGAGTTCATCGAGACCTTTCCATATAAAATTCGGTACAAATAAGGTAAAGAAAATGTGGTAGCGGATGCATTGTGAATGAGTTATGTTCTTCTTAATTCTTTAGGTGTCAAATTGTTAGGATTTGAATATGTTAAAGATATGTATGCTAATAACTCAGACTTTTCTATTATATATGAATCATGTCACAAAGGTGCTATAGATAGATTCTTTAAGCACGATGAATATTTATTTCGAGAGAATAAGTTATGTGTAGTTCAGTGTTCAATGAGAGAATTGTTAGTACGTGAAACACATAGTGGATGTTTAATGGGTCACTTTGGGATTAAGAAAACCTTGGAGATGTTGAACACTTTTATTGACCTAAGATGAAAGTTGATGTTGATTAGGTTTGTAGTAGATGCATCACTTGTAAAAATGTTAAGTCTAAGGTTTAACTACAAGGTTTGTATACACCATTATCGATGGAATAAGTTAGGAACTAAACTATTACTTTCTACTACTTGTCACCCACAAACGGATGGGCTAATTGAGGTTGTTAATAGGACTATGATATAACTATTGTGCACTGTAGTCAATAAGAACTTGAAGCATTAAGAGGATTGCTTGCCATTTATAGAATTTGCATATAATAGAGTTACGCATTCTACTACTTCGTATAGTCCATTTGAAATTGTTTATGGTCTTAATACACTAATGCCTTTGGATTTAATTCATTTACCCATTGATGAAAGATGTAGCTTAGATAGAAAGAAGAAGACTAAGTTGGTAAGATTACTCCATGAGAAAGTACAGTGTCAAATTGAGAAGAAAAAAGAGCATTATACTTCTCAAACAAATAAAGGGTGGAAGCGCATTATATTTAATCCAAGAGATTGGGTTTGGGAGCATATGAGAAAGGAACATTTTCGGGCTCAAAGGAAATCAAAGTTGCAACCAAGGGAAGATGGATCATTCCAATTGCTTGAAAATATTAATGACAAGTTGGATCTTCCGGATGAATATAATGTTTCTGATCTTTCTCTTTTTGATGCATGTGGAGATTCGAGGATGAATCCTTTTAAAGAGATAGAATAATGAGAACCATGGTACAATGGCTAGTAAGGATAAAGAACAGTTGATTGTAGAGGAAGGACCAATGACTAGATTATGAGCAAAGAAGGTCAGGAAGCCATGGTATTACTTGCTCAAGCTATGATGGACGAAACATTGATCACAACAAGCAAATGGACAAAGGAAAGGAAGAAGAATCCCAACCGGAAAGCTATTCGGCCGCATAGCTTCATAGGGGTGCAGCCACATCTCATGCAACATGGCGTATTTTGAAGGAAATGGCTACTTCTATGTAGCCACACCTCCTAACTTTATACGGCCACATAGAGTAAAATATGGGTGAGAATTATAATTTTATTCTAGTTTCCTATTTTAGTTAGAATTCTTCTTTTTGATAAATTTTACCATAATTTTCAGATTATCTAGGATTTTATTGACTCCCTATAAATAGGGTTTTTTTATTTAAAAAAAAAAACACAATTATTGAGATATTATTACGAGGTATACTGCTTTCAACTTGTTATTCATCAAACTTATCAAGAATTCATTTCTTGTGGCGTTCAGCAATTCAAGTGAGGTATATAGGTTTGTGATCACGGGATCATGATATTGATTTCAATTGTCTTGGATATTTGATTCAATAATTTATTGGTCGAGCTTTCAAACGTTGTTTCTTGGCTTTCTTATATTTGATATAATCTGTCGTGAGTTTCGTAGTTACAATTGTTACGTTGGTTCGCATCAATTTATATATACACTACAACGTGGTAATATTGTGAATCAATATTTGCGTGACCACATGATCTAGAATACACAATAACAAAATTATGTTTCTCATTTTAATAAAAATATTTTAAAATGAATATAAAAAATATAAGTCATCTCAAGTAGGAAAATAGACAACCGAAATTTAAAAAAAAATGAAATCTCCTTAAATATAAAATATTCCGATCACTATTTAATTGACATGTGTATTAAAAACTAGGGACTAATATTAGATTGGGACCCAAAAATGAATAAATATACCATGTCAAATGAATAGTGGAAAAAAATTGAAAAGACTTTTATAAAAGTCATTGACATTTTGAAACTTTGCCTTTATTTGTGAAAGCTCCTACGGAATTTGTAATTGATATCCCAAGTGTTCCCCCAATTTTAAACGCCCCCCCCCCCCCCCCCCAAGTTTTGAAAATCGTGCAAAATAGATCTATTTACAATAAATAAACAATTTTTTTTGTTTATAAAATCTACTGCAAAATGGGTAATTGCTATCCCAAGGCTTCTCCCAATTTTTGCCATTCCTAACTCTGCTTCACCTTAATTATTATTTAAACAAGAAATATTTTATGGATCTCGTCTTTTCACTTTTCTTCTCTCAATAAAATAATTTTACTTGTGAACCCATTATTTTTCCACACTTTTTAAGCAAATAATTTTCAAGAATATCACTTTTCAAAAAAAAAAAAAAATTATACATCAAACGGACCTTAAATGTATCTATACATGAATATTGTTGATAAGATATCTATGATTTCTCTTTCAGAACTCACTTTGTTCTGGACAATATTTCAAGCCAAAAATTTGGCTTTACTAGGTATATATACCCGTGTCCCGCTAGCAGCATTAGAAGGAAGGGTTGTGAGCAACTGATCGATCTAGTTAAAGTCAAAATACATCTTAATAGCTTATTACCGCCTTACGTTCAATTAGGGGTGTAAACCTCAGTCGTGCCACAGCCCGGTTTACACATCTAAGTCGTGTAAACCTCAGTCGTGCCACAGCCCAGTTTACACATCTAAGTCGTATGCTCTTTATACTCTAGTTCTTTTTCAGCTTTCGATCCTAAGGACACAAAATTCAAATAAGTCCCTGTAATTGGTGGCCATTATTTTCTAAAAACAATGGTTTGAATAGTAAGTTTAGGAGAATGTGTAATTAAAAAATAAGAAAAAATTTTAAATTTACGTATAAAATATTTTATTGTGTAAATATATTTGAAATAAGTATGTAAAAAAAAAGTTTAAAAATAATATTTATCAAACAGGGGCTAAGAAAACTTTTCTTCAACCTGTAATAAGAACTTGCAAGCATTAAAATAACGCGGGGAGGGGTGGAGTTCGGGTTGAGACTACCCTCTATGAAGGATCACTTACTATTCTTAACGAGTTCCAGTTCATAGAAGACAACAAATAGAATGGATGAAGGTTGGAACAAAAAGTACAAGCAAAGATTTACAACTAATTAAATTAATCATTCGTAGCCTCAAGCAAGCCCGATAGAGAGAAACTAAACTACACTAGGCAACACGTTCGTCCCAAAATAGAACTAGAGCAACCAAGCTTCAAGCCGAAGTATCTATGGTAATAATCTAAATTACCAAGAACTGTATGTATATTCCAAGCTAACAGAAAGCTACTGGTAATTTCCAAAATGATCGGTCGGGGCTTGCCAGACTGTACCTGTCACATACACACATAAGTATTAGGTTAGGCGAGAATACAAATTCGAAAGTAAAACCAAAAGATACACCAAAATTATCAAGAGTATAAGAATGCAAATCCTAGTAATACATATATCTTTTGAGTTCAATCAGTTCAGAAAACAAGTCAAACCAAAGAACAAAATAAGTATCCCTCATGAAAGCTTCTCGACTAAACTTATTCGAGGCAAAAAGGGATATAGAGAGGTAGTCGGTAGCAAAAATTTTCGAACTTCATTCTTCATTTTTCTTTTAAGTTATAAAATCATAATAGTGCATAACAAGAACAAAATTTAGCATTGCACCATCATGAGACAGCCCAGAACTCTATAGTCAATGGCCAAGATGCCTCATGGGAAGTCAATTAAAAATCACTAAACGAAAATCAGAAGCAGCTGTCGAATAAATATGAATCCAGAATCACAATAAAAAAATGCAATTTCAATTCTCAACTAATAACATGCTTGATAACCATTTGACAAAAAAGAACTTCATACGTCTCTGACAGCACCAAGTTCATTAGGTATCTTGATATTCCATCAAGTGCTTGTTTGACAAAGCTTAAATTACAATTTAAGCTGGTCGAACATACTTTTTATCTAGATATTTCACAACTAACACCCACTTATTATCTACATATTTTGAGTAACCCCCATCTTATCAGTGCTTAAAAGCACCAACAAACATAACCTTAGCTGTCTAAGATTAATTATTCATGGTCGTGACTGTGCAACGTGCATTAATGCATTGTTGTACAGCTCCCACTTCGAAGTAGTACGTAAATGAAGTTCAACTACAAATGAAGATCAAATTGTTTCTCTATCAGTTTAAAAACAATCTTCTACCAAGTACATTTAGAATATCTCCAATCATGGTTTAAAATAGATTTAAACTGTGATTTAGATCTCCAAAGTGGCCGAAAATCTCTCCAAAGGAGAGATGCAAAAGTATTTTCCAACAGAAAATGTAAATTACATCTACGAGAGGTAAAAGTGGATTTAGATCTTCTTAGGGCTGTAAGCAAAAACTGCCAAACCGGAAAACCGAACCGAAACCGCAATTTCGAAACCGGCGGTTTGGTGCCACGTGGACCCGTCAACGAAATGGTTTTGAACCAAACCAAACC